ATATATATATATATATACACATATATATACATACATATATATACATATATACACATATATATACATACATATATATATATATATATATACACATATATATACATACATATATATACATATATACACATATATATACATACATATATATACATATATATACACATATATATACATACATATATATACATATATACATACATATATATACATATATATACATATATATATATATATAAAACTGACATTGACTTGTACCTTATCATGTTTCTTAGCTGATTTAAGCCCCCGAGAGCCGGTGGAGCCTCTGGACGATGAACTTCCTGTGGTTGAGCAGTTACTGGACATCTGACTTCTGGAAAGGTAGCTGGCCTTACTGCCACATGCCATCCCTTCTTCATCTGAAAAGACGAGTGAAGGAGAGAGAACAGGGATAATTGTGAGCTTTTGCTGCTGATAAAAAAAACTCCATTAATGTTTTAAAGCAGAAGTCTAAACTTATTTTAATGAACCTGAACCTCTTTAATGGAAAAACCAGAGCTAACACTGGTGCTAGCATTGACTGATGTGGCTCAGGGACAATCATCAGCACTCCCAGTAGCATCTATTTGCACATAAAATAATAAATATAATAACCCCTTACATTAATTTGGGTCTATCAAAGCATAATGAAATTTGTGACACTTATGGCATTCTCAATAACAGTCAGTCAGAGTTAAAACAGTCACTGATCATGGATAAATATAAAATTTTACATGCTGCTAAGCAACATGTAGTTTATGATCCCTTCTCACTAACTTAGGGATAACTCTTATGTAAGTTCAAAGTAGTTATCGTTGTAGTTCTTTAAACAACCTTCAATTTTGACAAGTCGGACAAGCGAACAGCTAGTCTGAGTGGGACCAAAACCAAAGAAGAAAGCTGCTGTCTTAAATCACCTCCAGGCTCAAGCTGCTATTTTACAAAATCATCTATTTTATTACGGCTATTTACATGGAATTAGAATAACAGTGTAATGCAAAATTGACAATGATGTAAGTTTTTTTTTTTTTTAAGAACTAGTCACAATGTGATCTAGATTCAAGTTATTTTAAGACAGCAACAATCCACGTTTTTTTTTTTTAATCTCTGCTCAGACTAGTCGTTAACTTGTCAGTGCTGTCTGACATTCTAGTCTAATTCTAGTCCTTCAACTGTGATCATTAAAATGAAAAATAAAAATTGTTCATAACCTTTAAAACAAAACCCTTCAAAATGACTGGGACGTACCTTTAAGCAAGTCCCTTAAAAATCAGAACAAAGCAAAGAACATGTATTTATTTTGAATGATTTAACTTGTCCTGAAGAATGAAAACCTACACCAGCAAAGCTTTAAACAAAAAGAGCCACAATAAGAATCCACCCAAAATACCCACCATTTAAAATTATGGAAATACATGTTCACCTGCTGCAACAGGGATAAAAGTCCACAACTAATAAAATTGATCAAAACAGGTTGCTTAAAACAGCGGTTTCGAAAGTTGGGGTTGGTGTTCTACTCTGGGTCATGAAACACCAAGTGTGGGGTCCTTAGATGATCTGATGATCAGGCTTGGCAACCAGATTAATCCTCGGCCACTGCACCGGCCACCCCAGTCATTTAAAGAAACAGTGCTTTTAAGCACTATAAAAACTAGAAAGCAGTTTCTTTAATTGACTGGGGTGGCTAGTTTACAAATATATATGGTGGTGGCCATCTTGGATTTTTATGTGGCAACCCAGTTTTTGCAAGGAACCTTTCTTCACCTTGATGTAGCCACACACCAATTCCCTTATTGGTAATCCAGGTAGAAAAATCCAAAAAAGTTCAATCTGGTCCTCTGGACATTCAAAAAAACAAAAAACAAAACAAAGCAAAAAAAATGTAGAAACGTTTCGTCTCTCATCCGAAAGACTTCCTCAGTCTGAGGTGCTGTATTCAGCTCAGTCTCTTAAATAGCACCTTCTCAGAGTGAATCAACAAGTTTGCTGCTGACAACCAAAACCAGCTGCTCACATGGTCAAGAAGGACCATCAGCCTAACAATGGATCATTAGCACCCTGATGGTTGTTTACTATTCACAGGGGGTTGAGTGATACTAGCAATAACAGCAATGTAAGAGGGGGCAGTTGAACCCAGAAACCTCCACCCCTGTTTAATGATGGACGATTTCTTTTCACAAAGATGGCCTCCTTTACTCCTCTCTCAAACCATCGTTCCTCTCTGTCCAGGATGTGAACATCTTCATCCCTGAAAGAGTGACCGCTGGCCTGGAGATGAGTGTAGACTGCAGAATCCTGGCCTGATGATCTTCTGTGCTGGGCCATCCTTTTGGCCAGTGGCTGTTTAGTTTCCCCGATGGAAGACTGATCACAGCCCTCCTGACACCGAACAGCATACACAATATTACTCTGTTTGTGCCGGGGGACTGGATCTTTGGGATGAACCAGTCTTTGCCGTAATGTATTTTGGGGTTTAAAAGCCACTGAGATGTTATGTTTAGAAAATAAACGTCTCAGTTTCTCTGATACTCCCTCAACATACAGAATGATCACTGGTCTGGATCTTGGTTCCTCCTTTTCACCTGATGGCTGACTGTAGTCCTGTTTGGGTTTCTTCTCTGCTTTCAAGAAGGCCCAGTTAGGATATCCACATCATTGCTCTAGAGCCTGTCTTGTGTGGGATTTCTCCTTCTGCCTGGCTCCTGAGTTAGTGGGGACGCTGTCTGCTCTGTGGTACAGAGTCCTGATGACTCCTAACTTGTGCTCCAAAGGGTGATGGGAGTCAAACTGCAAATACTGGTCTGTGTGGGTGGGTTTGCGGTACACCTCAGTTTGCAAATGTCCTCTATCAGAGACTGAGACCTCACAGTCCAAGAAAGCCAGCCTGCCATTTTTTTACATCTTCTCATGTGAACTTGATGTACAAAGTATTTATCCACAGAGTTGATGTGGTCA